TAGTAGACTTTAAACATTGCTTTGCCATTGCTTTCGAATAAATTTATCTCATATACTTAGATATTTTTAAAATTACAGTTTTCTCATAGTATTGCAGCTTAAATTATACTATAGCATAATAGTAAATATTCTTCTTAAAAACATGAAAAATCGAATTCAATATATTTTTTAATAAGAAACTTTAGTCAAAGTTCATTAATATTGTATGCTGGTTGTAGTGGTATAAAATACTGCCAATTATAAATAACGTAAGGGACTCATTAAAATTAATATCTTCCTTTTACATAAATTTATAGAAAGTGTGTAAAAGTATTTTCATATAAAAGTAACAGACGTAGTTAATATAAATGGTATGGGAGTATTGAACATACAAATGGTATTCAACATACAACAGTCCTACATACATCAACAACAAAATTAGTTTGATCTGCTATTTTATGTACATACATATGGTGAGGTAAATATTCAATTTTCAAATATTTTGCAAATATTAATTTGGGTATACGCTCAATAGCATAATAAATTATATCTAGTAAAATATTAAAATTACATCACATTCACTCCAAGTTACTGCCATTCGAATATGTTTATAGTTATCAACACGATATTAAATGCAGTCATTTACCTATACATGCATAAATTATTTACATATAGAAGCACGAATGTAATGGCATTACTATAGTAATAATGTGAAAACACTTCGATTCAAATGCAAGTAGAAAATTTATTGAGTGATGAAAACCCTTAAACTATACTTTTAATTGCATTTTTATGATAACCCCGGTCAAATTTGCACATTCTTACACTAAAGTGTATATTGTATGCATATTACTTATATAAATATATATATTACTTGTATTTAGATATACACAATTCTGAATGAGAACAACATCTGTATAAATATATATAACATCTTAATGATGAAATTCTCTCAACCATAAAATTTTCGTAGACACACATGACATTCAATATTATATGGAAGAGTAAAACTAGAATTATAAAAGGTGAAATGATGACATTAACTTGAGTATTAAAGTAAATACTACTTGCATAATATAGGAATGAGCAATGTTAATATACATGTTGTATGATGAAGGTGGGTTCAAAAATTTTTGGTTTAAAATTAAGTGATTACATCTAAATTTTATGTCTTCGGTATGACTATTTTCAAAAAATGTCTTAAAACATAAAATTTTGCACTTCTTTGTGCAGATACAAGGTTCTTTTTTTTAAGTCAAATGCTGGAGAAATAGCAATATTAGCAATACTGTAAGAATATTTCTGTACAGCAAAACTCCAAAAGTTCAGGAAAGAAGACATAATACACGTACTTTTAAAATAATATCAAAAATCTTACCAACTTTAAAAAGAATCAAATCTAATTTATTTCTGTGTAATTTTAAGCAATTCCATTGAAATTTAAATTTGTAACACAAAACTACGCATTTGTATACGTTGTATACGTGTGCTTTAAGCAAATCAAAATTGTTATTTAAAATCGTTCTGTAGTTCAACGAAACACAGCAACTACAATTCCACAACTTCATAATTATTGAAATAACTGAAGCAAGAAAAATATATTTTTTTTTGTTCTTTTGTTGCCTGCAACATTTAAACATTTAAATGATCTGAGAATATTTTATTTTCACTTTGAGCTAAGAATATTTTTTTAGCATTAAAATAAAAGAACGAAAAAAAAAGTGAATAAAGTTTAAAAGGAATTCAAAAACAAAATACCTTCGCAAAAATGGAATGCCTTTTTTTGCTCTTTCCAAAAAGGAAAAATTAAAAAAATCTGTTCTGGTCATTACAATTTTAGATAAAAAAGCGAAAAAAATGAATTTTTCATTTAGTTCATCTTTTTTGCGATCATAGAAGATTTCTTTTTTCGAAAACTTTACTTTTGAATACAAGATGTTCCAGCAAAGATGTGTTCGAAATAATTTGCGTTGTTGCTAGCTCAAAGTTAAAATAAAATTTTGACTTTTATTAGGTACGTGTCGATCTGAATAGTAATGAAATGAGAAATTAATTATAATTAACTAAGTATATTTGTACCAGGCCTCACCAATATTTTTTCGAGGTTATGAAAGATTATAAATCACGTCATCCTCGCAAAAGAATATTTTCTTAATCATAATTCAAAAATTAATTTGTCTATATAATTATCATACCTACTATTTTTAATGTTTATAATTAAAGTTTCTAAAAAGTAAAGGATGCTTTAATTATTGTTCAAGTTATTAGAATTAAAATTAAAACTCTCTTATGTAAGTGATAGCAATACAACAACTACAATAATATATTTTCGAACTTTCTGACGAAATTTAATTTCCAGTTTATTTCAAGTTTAAAAAAATTTGTTTATATGTCATAATATTGTTACAGTTCTTTTTAGAAACTGGCTCAAAAGTTACCCATATACTTATTGTTTTAGTAAAATTAAACACAATTTTGTTTAGGGGGCCTATATATGACTTAATTTACATAATATAAGTGCTAAGTAAAAATTAAATAATTAAAAATATTTATAATTCATGAATTAAATAAATTTATTATGAAAATTATTAAACAATGAGCTTACTTAAGCCGTTTTACAATGAGGGAATGTTATATTAATTAAATTGAATGCTTTTGTGTTGTTAAACAATATATTTATGATATGCCATCAATATTCTTAAAAGGGTATACCCTATACATTGAAAATGAAAAATAAAAACTTATTTTTATGAAAAATTCAATTCTCTGAATTAAGAAAGAATATGATAACGTTAAAATTATTGGACAAAACTTTAAATGAACCCTTTTTTTCCACTTTTTTGGTTTTTTTTTCTTTCGCTTTTCTTTTAAATCATATAGTTTATATCTTAAGCTCTCTCTTTTTTTATTTCACTTTCATATTTTTAATATTAAAATTTTTCATTTCCCATTTATACCTCCAAATATAGTGTACTAACAAAAAATAGAAAATCTTCTGCTACTTACACTCCTGTACAGAAACTATAATGTAAAACCAAAAAGGAGAAAAGTGCATATGTAAAGGGTCAAAATAGTAAAATTTCACTATTCATTAATATTTAACCTCATAATTCTTTGGACACATTTTAAAATGGGATTTTCTTTATAATATAGAATACATAACATTATAGTTTAAATACACCTTCCACCTCCAGATGTCTATAATGGTTTTAAGGTGAAATAAAAATCATATTTTTAATTCTTAACTTTTCTTTTCGTATTTATTTTATATTTTATGTTTTTATTTCTGTTTTTAGCCGTGAGCAAATTTCATGAATTAATTTTTCTCCAAATCCTCTTAGAAAAAGGATACTATAAAATTTATGTTCTCTATATTTATAGAGTTTTTAATTTTTTTTTAATTTGAAATTTATGATTTTAATTTATGTGTATACCTTATAACAAATCTACAAAAATATTTCATTTTATGTAACATTTATTTATATACAATATATAAGAGACAAAGTAGTTATGAATAAAAATACAAATAAATAAAAAAAAATTATTGTTTTTATATAAAAAATATTATAACTATATAGAAGAGATAGGAAAAAATAATAAGAGAAAATAAATGGAAAACAACGACGAGACTGGAAAGCTAATTAAAAATATTTCAATGAATTCAATGAAAGTTGAAAAAAAAAATATTCATCTTTTCGACCAATTTAAGGATAATATCCTTTTCTAGGAAAGTTTATTTGCTTTTTCGAATAGAGAATTGGTTTATTTTTTTTCTTCTTGTTATTATTTTTATATGATTTTTATTCAGGTGAAAAAAATTAAATACATGGTAGGATTTTTATTTTACAAAAAAAAAAAATATGAACACAATAATATGAAATTTTTTTGTAATTAGCTGAGAATTAAGCTCTGAAGGAAATAAGAACAGGATTAACTTACAGTAATATAGGAATATAATTAAATATAGGTGTATACTGAAGGTAGATATAATATTATAATAAAATATATTTAAAATTTGAAAGTATAATGAATAAAATTAATAATTTAGTATTTAAATACAGGATTTGTTTAGAATTACTGTTAAAATATTGAAATAAATAAAAATTCTTATCACACAAATAATTTGTATGTATGTAATTATGTATATTATATGAGAATATAATATTTAAGGAGCATAATTTGATTATAATTCATAAATTTGGGCCATGAAAGGCTTACAAAAATGATGTACAATAAATGTTATGATTACTATTAACTGTAAGTGGCCGAATTAAGGTGTAGGGACTAAATGCCTAAATTATGTACTTTAATTTTAGTTTTTGGGATAAGTTAACATGATTAGGTCTATTACATTCATCATATTTCAATTAAAATATAATTATATAGAAAAACTAAGAACATTGCGTTGTTATTTTATTATACGTATACATAATATTTAAAAAAGGTAATTTACCTTACAAATAATATTTCGAGATTTTGTGGACATAATGTTGATGAAAAAACTAATACCTAACGTTTAATTCATGGAATTTGAATATCATTAAGTTTGCTAATTAATTATTATCATTCAAATGCTAGTTAATTAATTATACTGCTTAATTTGTTGTGTATTGCCTGGTATTACGATTTTATAATTATAGTCAATTGCAGAGTCTAAAACAAAATAAGTTTTATATGGGAACCATTTTTCTATCAGTCTAAAATTCTAAAATCAAAATGTTAAGGTACCCAAAATAATTCTAAAACTGAATATATTCGAATTTTGTATATTTCACCAATTGGATTAAAATTTCGGAGAAAAATTAAAATCTGTATAATTATACAAAATGTTTTAATTATACCAAAAAAAATTATGTGCCCGCAAGTATTGTTGAACCAAGAGAATGAAACAATTAAGTAAATCAGCTTATTAAATAAACTATGTTAAGCTAATTACAATTTTAAAAAGACTAGCAGGAAATTTTTATATAAAAATTAATAAAAATTATATAAAAAATTAATTTAGAAAAAAAAGCACTCACTCTAATTTTTGTATTCCACTCGTAGTCTTACATCCAGCTCGTTCCATTTCTTTAACATTCACGATAGTAAAAGAATTTGTTCTTTTTATTGTTCTTTTTCTTTAATTTATAAATTTTGTTCCGTTGGACGTTGTTTTACCCAAATTAATCCACATGGATTCCTGCAATGAAGCAAAAAGATATTTTATGTTTAGTTCATACGAATGTCCAAATGAAATTATTTTCAGTCTAAATTATATTTATACAATATATCACAAAACAAATTTTATATTCATAAAAGTACTTTGAATTTGAAAGGTATCTTTAAATTTCTATATTGATTAAATTCCTAAAAACAATATTTTATTTCAGAGTGTGGTTCATATTTGCTGTAGTGTGTATTGTAAATTTGGAGGCATACATATAACTTTAATTAAAGGCATGGCTCATCCAAATTGCACGAAGAAAATATGGTTGCAATTCAAAATAATTTATCTTTAAAAATTTTGAAAAAGTGAAGGATGTTCACACTATTCTAATCTAACAATCTATGAATAACTGTATTTTAATAAGTTTTTAATAAGTTTTAAACATGCACTCTAAAATTTTGAGCATTATAGATAACACCTCAGGCGCAATTCATGAAGAGAGTTTTTCCTCAAATAAAATCCATGTTACTCTTACGAACTATTGTACAGTATTTAACTAAACATTTCTAAAATTATTTCAGTTAGTATTTTTTAATTATATTGAAAATATTAATTTGTATAATTTGTTTTTTATTTCTTCCTCGTAAATGAAACATCTTCTCTATCTATACCTTCTCGTATAGAAAATATCAATTTAATTCTATTTAAGAGCATTCAAAATATTTTGTTTTTTCTTAAATACATATGTAAAAATATTGGCTAAAGGATTTCAAAGTAAACGTATTACCGATATCAAAGTAAAAAGGATTAACATTGAATCATTGAATTTTATAACTTTGAATATTTCAAGAATTTTAAATGTTTAGAAATTTGTGGCCAATGTATCAACGTATAGAAAGGAGAAAAATGTTTCAATTCAATCTTGCATTTTGGTATACAAAACTGTGAATGCCATTTTTGTTTCGTGAACAAATATAAGACCAATTTCAATTGCTTTCTGAATGAAAAATTTAGTAATTTTCTCTTTATACCCATACGAACGTATGTTCGAAGGGTATACTAAATTTGCCTTACCGTTTGTAACGCTAAGAAATAACGGTGTTAGATATAGACTCAAGTGTATGTTTTTGATCAGCGTCAAATTCTGAGTTGATTTAGCTTTGTCTGTCCGTCGGTCCGTCACTCCGAACGATAACTCAAAAACTAATTGAGCTAAGTTCACCAAATTTTCACAAATGATTTATGGTAGTAAGTGCCAGAACCCTATTTAAATTGGACATGATCGGGGTCCCGGTTCGGGTAGCTGCCATACAACTTTAAAATTTATTTGGCTATATCTCAGAAACTATAAAAGTTGTGGTATTGAAATTTCACACAAACGAATATATTGGTAGGGCCAATGTGTCTCATAAAAGTCGTTGAAATTACTTGGCTCCTTCTGGTACCTGCCCCACAACTTCAAAAGTTATTTGGCTATATCTCAGAAAGTATAAAAGCTTTGATATTGAGATTTCACACAAGTGAATATATTAGTAGGGCCGATATGCTTGATAAAATTCGCTAAAATTTCTTGGCTCTTTCTGGTAGCTGCCATACAACTTCAATAGTAGTTTGGCACAACCAGTATTTTGAAAAACACATAGTATTGAAATTTTGCATAAATTAATATGGTAATACGGCAACTTAAAGTCATAGTCTTGCCCCTAGTTAGTTATGGCACATTAGTTATTCGCACATAGGATAACAAATTCGTACGGGTATCACAGAGTTGACAAGGTCAACTCTACTTTTTTTCTCGTTTTTAATAGTTTTTATTTCCTAATTCAATTTAAAAACATTTTCTTTTTCTATTTAAAATAATTGACTTAAGAGAGAAAAAATATAAAAAAAATATTAGTAAAACTATAAATCTATTAAATGGAAGAAGGGAAGTAGTTGAAAAAAAAATTGATCGAATGCTCACATAACTCCTATTTCTTCTGATTCAAATCTTTCCTGTTCTTCCTATTGAATTGTTCTTTTTTTTATTTTAAAACTTTTCTCCTCTTAAAAAGTGAGTTTTTTTTTATAAATTTTAAGTTAATAAACAAGTTTCTTTTTATTCATTTTCCAATATCCTTTGTGTATACTCTTATATCAATTTATAGTATGTGTTTTTTGTCGGTATTTTGATCTTATCCTGTAAAAATCAGTATTTAGTTTTCATTTATTTAAGAGAAATTTTCCATTTGCATTCTGAATTTAAAAAATATACGTTGTTCATGGAACTTTTAAAGGTCTCGTAACAAAACTTGCTTGTAAATATATTAAAGTGCTTGCTTATATAGATGAATGGATTGTGTGTAAAAATAAAGTATTAAAATTTTTGCAGAAAATAGGTAAGTGTATTTAACTTTTCTGAAATTGTATTGCAGAGAATTTAATCAGTCGTTTTGTATGACTTAATTAAGAAATTAGGTGTGTTATAGCAATTCATACATAAATTTTCATTTATTAGTATATAATGAGTATTGCCAAAATGTTATTCAATTCTCTAATAACTTAATAATTAAAAAAAATTGATACTAAATCAAAGATGTAACAAATATTGTACTTTTAGAGTTGGACTGGATTGAGACTAAAGTAATATGCATTATTAAATCCTTGTTATGAGAAATCAAACAACATTTGTTTGGTTCGATCTGCCTGACGAAATATAATGCCAGAAATCGATTCCAATTTGGAAATACTCCTCTGATAAATTAAAATTAAGTCGAATAAAACCGAATTCAATACAATTTTTATTTATGAAATTCAAAAAAATTCAAATTTTTGTTTGTGAATTTTTACCTTTTTTCCCTTGTTTATTTTTAATTTGGCAAGTCTATAATTCAAAGTCTATATATAAACAATATATCATCTATGGTATATAGCATCTTTTATGGCTACATAATAAATTATTTTCTCTCTTGTTATTGGTTCTGTTATCAAATTTTCGAATGAAAATTTTCATTTTCTTGTTTTTCTTTAATCCTTATTATTGTAATCTTTGAAGATATCTCTGCATATATAACATTCTACTCATATATTATATAATATAGAATAAACACATAATATGAATATAAAAATAACTTTGAAATTTTTGAATAAACAAGTCAACCCTATCTTCTTCATAAGAAGAAAAACTTTTTTTTTTTTACATTGTATCCCCCTTATAACTTGTCAAGGAGGCAAAAAAAAACCAAAAAAAAAATTGAAACACCGTTTGTTAGTTTGCAAAATGAAACAAAAATTCATGTCTCAATACTATCATCATCATAAAAAAATTATAAAAAAGTACCTATATGCTACTAGATGATGTTCAGGAGAGAAAAAAGCGGTAGTCAAAGAAAAAATGTCATTTATTGTAAAATCTCAAATGTGCCAAGATGTTATAGTAGGTGTATCCCTAATTTTACATATATGTATACAATAAAAGTAAAAAAATTTTCAAAAAAATGAAAAAACAAAAAAATCATAAAACAAACGGAAGCTATAAATGAAAGAAGAATACAAGTGAGTGTACCTTTGGTTGTATGGGGAAGTAAAAAAAAATATGAACAAAATTGCTGACATGTTGAATAAACAAAATACAAAATTTTGTAAAAAAAAGAAAGAAAGAAAAAATTATAATAATAAATAAAACTTTTTAGCTTCTAAATTTATTTAAGATGAAAAGCAGCGCCATATAAAAGCAGTACAGAAAAACTTTAGAATTTTTTATTACACAGATGGCAAATGTATAAGCTGTAGAATTTTATTACTTAGTTTAAAATTTTTAACTTATTTTGTACATACAAAAAATATTTCAAATTCAGTATCTCAGTAAAGAATTAGCTAACTGTTCTAAATGTATGTATGCAATATTTGTGTGTGTATATTTATGAAAATTTAATTTATTGTATTCAAAATTTAAACTTTTACGTGCAAACAAAAATTTCTCATTCAAGAAAGGATTTATTTATACGTATAGATTTGTTTTGAGAATTCAAAACTGAAATAATCGTAAAATTTGGAAATAATGTACAGAAAATCCTTATGGTTCCTATTATAGAGTATTGAACTTGATAATGTTTTTACAGATTTTTTGTACTTTATGAAATGGTGAAAATTAGCTTTTGGACACAAAGAAATTAGAAGTAATAATAATCTATATTATATGACATTTTGTTCTCTATTTCAATGTTAACTCTTCAGTATCAAAGTTAATTACTTGCATTATTAGTACAATGTACAATAAAATATTTGCATTTTTCACCCTTAATTTTTTAATTTTCAGTTGAAAAAGTGCTCATTTTTTTATTTAACAATATTCTTAGTGTTTTCGTATCAAATATAATTTCTAAATAAAAAATTTTAGAGCTAAATAGTTCTATAATAACTTTTATTAAAGTTCTATTATAATTTTTAATATATAAGCGCCTCATTCATATTGTCAAAAATTTTTTTCTTTAATCAGTCGTCAACCAAAAATGTTACTATATTTTGTTACAAAGATTAATTTCATAAAAATAATTTTTACCCACTAATTAAATGACTATTAAATGACTATAAATGTTGTCCAGTTGATTTTAAACTCATATATTTTTCAATGTTTTTTTTAATTTTAAATTCTCAAAATTTTTCATAATCTTCACATTGAGCTCATTTTCATTTTACTATATAATATTATTTTCTTGTATAACATCTACATAATATTATGTACACATTGATACATAGATTGATAAAAAGTATTGTTTTGTGTTATTGTACATGGATTCATACTAATAATTAGTATAACAATGAATTTTTCAAATCAATATCACTGCTATAATATTGTGAAGGATTTTTAAACTGTGAGTATTGAAAGCATTTTAAAAATAAAATGAAAAATATTCTGCCTCTTCGTCTCAACAAAAACATTTTATAATATTTTGTATGGCTGTATGGAATATCGCACATTTGCGAGAACAATGACATAAGTCAAAATACAATGTTGCAAACTTGCTTTTATTACTATTATATTTTAATTTATA